AGTAGTTAGAAAAAGCTAGACGTAACTAGAATCAAGGTAAGAGTAACTGGAAATAAGATAGAAGTAACTAGAAACAAGGTGGAAGTAACTGGAAATAAGATAGAATACAAGGTAGGAGTACTTCCTCTGGTATCCAGTTACTGCACGTGGTACAAATTACAATCAAGGATTGGCTAGATACCTCATGAATAATTAATGAGTATGAGAAGTGCTTTTCCGCTGCTCGATTTTCGTGATCCATGCATTTCGTATGCAATTACAATCTGTTTATTTAACGTACGGTGTACTATGATGGATTTGATCTTGGAGACATAATTGTTAAGATTGATAATTGATACTTTAAAGAGTTGTTTTTCATTCAAAAGGTAAATTAGTAATTAACTTGAGTGATATAAATCTCATCGTGCTGCCAAACTTCTAAACATAAGGATCATGCCGAAACCGTTTCGTATTTCGAAAAAATATCAAAGCAGATTGTATTTGTTTAATATAAGGAACAATTCCTTGGGCTTATTTCTTGGGTATTCAAAATATTTACCCTGTATTCTTCACTTTAAGTGTGACAAAGTCGCTTAAATGATCAATGCAAATTAGCATCGCGTTACCAAAACAACTCTAAGACAAAACAATTGAAAATGCTCTCTGTACATTTTAGCTCAATAACCACGCACTTTTCAGTTTGATTTATTGACTCTTGTTTCTCAGAGGTAGATTTTCGGAGAATTTATAGTAATACTGAGAAGTTTGGATTAAAATTTCTGTTCCCGCCATGTAAAACACTGATGTCCTGTCTGCAGTAAGTAGCACCGTGAATGCTAATTTATGCAAATTAGTTTTTATTGGGCATTTTTACAAGTCTTCTCGTAGATAAGCCGCACCCCCGATTTGGGAACGATTTTTTTGGAAAAAAAGTGTGGCTTATACATGGGTAAATATGGTAATTTTCATTTATTTTTATATCTAGTGTATGAAAGCTTGATAAGTTAGTATTTCTAAAGAAATTTAAACTTGTTAAATAAATGTATATGGGAAAGAGAAGGTCAACACATCAAGCACAGGGTCTGTGAATGTTATAGCAATGTAATCAATTTTTCCATACAGCTTAAGAACCTCATGGTTGTTGGCATTGATTGCTACCATGACTCAGCAGAGAAAGGCAGATCTGTTGGTGGTTTTGTAGCCAGTTTGAACCAAACCCTAACTAGGTATGCATCAATTTTTTCTTGCTAATGTAGTAAATGGTACATCTGATTACAAATAATTATTCCTTGGTTATTGTGATAAATGTAATGCTCTGTTATTAGCTAGAAAAGGTTATTTCAGACAATAACAGTACATGTTGAATCTAGATACTACTCAAGGTGTACATTCCAGCATCAACACCAAGAATTGATCGATGGCCTTAAAGTATGCATGACAGGTAAATCTAGCAAATAATATGTTGTATCTCTTCTAGGTATAATTCACTTTAATGTTTTGCACTTGCTGTGCTTAATATCTTATGTTAGAGAAAAAGCTGTATTCAAGATGGTTCTTACACAAATACAAATTTATTACTATTCGTATAAAAATGGTGTTAGTCACAGGAGAAAATTGACATTTTTAGGGATATTGTGATAATAGCAATATTATTTCCTGCAAGGCATTCTGTGCATGAGAATCTGTTTTCACATGTGAAATGGAGGTTGTCCACTTTGTTGTGGAAAAAAAGTGTTTCCTTACATAGAATTATTGTTGATTATGTGTTGTTTCAGCTGCTCTAAGGAAGTACCAGGAGGTAAATCAATCACTTCCAGACAGGATTATCATCTTTAGAGATGGTGTAGGGGATGGTCAGTTAAATTATGTTATAGAACATGAGGTCAGCCAGCTCCTCCAGAGTTTCAAGGGAATCCAGGAAGGAACAGAGTACAAGTAAGTGTCTATTTTGTTAAGGTTTTGTTGGTGGAAGATGGTGACAATTGGTTGTGGTTGAGTTGTAAACATGGATGATGGCAGTGGAATTTGTAATATTTCATCCATGGACAGTCACTGCACAGAATATCCACTAACAAAGCATTCTTAAACAGGCCCAAATTTGGTATGGTGGTTGTGAAGAAACGCATCCAAAACAGACTGTTCCTCCAGGGTCAACGAGGTGACTTCGCCAACCCTCCCCCTGGGACAGTCTGCGATTCAAACATAACCCGTCCTGAGTGGTAAGTCGTTGAAATTTTGTGATAAAGAGGATGGTCGCTTGCAAATGCAGATTTGATCTCATTTTGAGAAGTGTACTCAAGATTCTCTTGTTTTTTGTTTCAAGTGTAATATTTTTGTTTTGCATTTCAGAATTGCTAGTACCTTTTTTAACATAACTGAAATGTGAAATTTATTTAGGTTTTTAACAAACGAGTAAACGTATGTTTTAGGTTCGACTTCTTCCTTGTGAGTCAGTCCGTACGCCAGGGTACAGTCACTCCCACCCATTACAATGTCATCTATGACACCACTGGCCTTAAACCAGACCACTTCCAGAGACTTGCTTACAAGTTGACACACTTGTACTACAATTGGCCTGTAAGTATACGTCTAACACTTTGTTAATGATGCAAATAGAATAGTAACCTGTGAACAAAACTCATATTCTTCTGTTGGTTTCCAGGGAACTGTACGTGTACCAGCTCCATGTCAGTATGCCCACAAACTGGCCTTCTTGGTTGGACAGTCTCTACACAGAGAGCCCTCAGCAAGCCTAGCTGACAAGCTTTTCTTCTTGTAAAAAGCTCAGTTTAAAACTTAACCAGCTCTGTACCAAGGTGTACTTTTGCTTCCTTTTCCATGTATGGAGCATCAATAGTTTATATTATAACTGGGGACAAACCCAATGTTTTGGTTATATGGGATTTTAACAGTCCATTTCTAGTATACGTTGAGAAGTGATAATATATCGACATTCATTTATTACCAAAAAAAGTATTCAAGAGAACAGGCAGCTTATCTGTTTGTTTTTATCATCATATGGCATCACCATATTCTCTCTAAACATTTCCAATATCTTGTTCAAAGTTGATAGGATTATTTTTTTCAATTATGATTATTATTAAGTTGATTAAGTAGATCGAAAAAAGATTGTATTTTCGTAATTAATAAAATTGTTTGAAATCATTCTAGTTTCATTGTTCAAGCGATGTGTTAATCAATCTTGTTCATACAACATTGTGGAATAGATATTTAACAATTGGACCCCGAGGTCGAGTGACTATAAGTTGTAAGATAGGCAATGAACCTATACTTGGCACTATCAACTCGTAGTTCACGAGACCGACTGGTATAACGTTAGTTTCTACCTAAACTATATGGCAAATTTTTGTAAAAAAAAAAAAAACCCGACTTCCATAGCACCTATGGAAGTCGTTGAAGTTTTCAAGCTGCTTGAATTTGGATTCATTCGATACTACCTTGTCCTATCGTGAATATATCATAGTTCAGTAACCAATAAGAATGCTTTATTATGTATACAATACATCATCTTGGTTGCATTAACAAAGTTTCTCTCCGCTGACATTAATCGAAAGTTGACGACGCGATGCGAAAGTGCTCGCTCGGAGATCCTCGGATCATAACGACGGATCTTGAAGCCTTTGCGAATCTAAAATTCCGAACGTATTCCGAAAGATATGGCATTAACATCACGAGTCAAATGCTTGTTTATCACAATGTCATTCGCCTCTAAAAAATGCAGTGCGTGATGTCAAATTGAAACGCTTCCCATTCCAAGGTTGTTAAAAGGCGTGCGGTTTCATAAGTACCTAGACATAACTCAAAGGCTTAACTGGTGTTATTAAAACATTCTCCAGAGAAACTTGTCATCATGCCCGACTGAGATCAGAGAGAAGGCCTACATTAGCCTAGTACGTCCTGTTTCTGAATATGCTTCCGTACGTAGCGTGGTSGCCGCTCACCCAAAAGAGGACATCAAGGGTGTTGAAACCATCCAGCGTGAACGATTATCGCAGGGATAGTAGCGTCACAAGTATGGTTGCACACCTAGGATGGCCTACAACATCGCAGAGTGGATATGTCTATGTTTTACAACATCAATTTCCATCACCTAAACATCGAGTCCCACCTGACTTTAAGCAGAAACACTTCAATTACGGTATGCCACTAGTTCACGCAATTGTCATCAGCTTGATCACCCTATATGGGCAGTTAAACGCTCCGAGAGGAGGGACTCCGGGGTATTAAAAGTACCAGGGATGCTCGTCAGAAATGTTCGAAAAGACTCCTTAAAGATCCCGGAAGCCTTGAAAAAGGGCGCGGTTGTCTGATTTTTAACCCCTAAGAGATTGCATAACAAATATTGTTAAATTAAATGATAAAGACACAGAGGAAAATCAATATTCATCCGCTCTTTCTCTTCTTTTCCAACACCCTAAGAGATTGCAGAACTAATGCAAATTTCCATTGTCATCAACAATCTCCTTCATGATGACTGTCCCTAGACTATAAGTCTTTAATGCATTATACATAAGATCAAACAAAGTCTACTATTTAGTAGTAAATAAAAGTAATTACGGCTGTTTGTACTATGTTTTCGACTGAGAGCTTTTTATTTGTTGTTGATTTGACTGCTTGAAGAGGTATAAGCGACAGTTCAGGCGTTCTTCCCGTCAGAAATTAGTTCAGAACTGGACCCTCTCTTCTCTATTACTATAATATTATATATCCAAAGCGCAAGCTTAAAAGAGGGTCCAGTTCTGGACTAGTCAGAAATTAGTCACGTTCGAGTCACTCACGCATTTGTCACGCCTTTTGAGATCCCTTGTTTTTAATTTGCGTGTTCTTGCCTCAGAACAGAAAGTTAACTTATGAAACAATTAAATCATCGGAACACCTTGGTCTCAACAATAATAAAAAAGCAATATAAAGCAAGGAAACGACATAATAACATTGTAGAATGTTTTCATGAACGTTAGACAAATTGCTTGTTTTACGGGAAGCTTACGCTCAAAGAACTCGGTTCACGGTATGGCTTTCTTCTCCTCTCATCTTGTAAGCTTGCACAAGGGAGTATATGCTTCCTTAACTCCCGACATTCAGACTCTCCTTTTTAAAGTGTTTTTCCGTATAGAKACATCTGAAGGCTCTCCAACTGAATCCCAATAATACAGTAGAATAGTTGCAACAACTGAAGGCATTAAAAAAATGAAAATGACCCCTAAAAGAGACCTGTATTGTGAGATGATGGGCGCAGCAGCGCTGAAATTTCACCCTTAAGAGGGACCAATCAATAAACGTTTATTTTGTTTTGGTTTCCCGATTTTATTTGTGCTTATCAAATGCTGTTGGCTCTTATTACGTGAGCTTCCTGTGGAAAGAAAAATAAATAAAATGCGACGCCACTCTAAGGATTATGACGATGCACCAAGAACTATCGTGACCAATGCACGGCCAAGATTGCATTAATTTTTGGCTCGTTGAGTTTGTTCACAACATGCATGAATGGAGAACTCCCAACCTTTGGATACGCTTACTGACGGTTTACTTTTATTTATGCCTGACTTTCATGTTAAAATATTGATATTCAAAAGCAAAGATCTGGTCAAACAAATTCTGAACAACTATGTCAACTCAACGTGATCGAGTTGTTGTACAGTTGTTGTGCATGATGGAGATATCACGTGATCGTACGAAAATGGTGCGCTTCTCTAACTTTGGCTAAATGTCAATCAAACCAAGGGAGGCTCATAATGGTTATCAAATGTGACGTCATTTATCACGTGACTGCACTGGGATGCGAGTGTCGATAAGCGTGAAGGAATTAACTTTTTCCCTTTCACTATTACAATGTCAATAGTTTGAAACTGTGCTACTCCTTTTTATTCCTTTTTCTCTTTATTTTTAATGTTTAAGCACTGCGTTGCGAAACAACTATCCAGTGCCAAAGTGATTGTCATAAATTATATAGTAGAGTGGTATTCAAACAAGATAAACAATATTGGTATAGAATTGAAAGAAAGTTATAGTGCTTAGAAGGAGGCAATTCCGAATTTATTCCTAAGGGACTTCTCCCGGAATTGCCTCCTTCTAAGCACTATAACTTTCTTTCAATTCTATATCGTGTTTATCATAGTGCCGTGCGGTCTTCATATTCATATCTAAACAATATTGGGGTGATTTTTCATCGCTCGAGTTTAGAAAAAGAATACTACAGGTTTGTTCTATGTTTTCAATGGAATCTATCGACTATAATCATTTCATAAATTGACAGATGAAGTAATTTCAAATATTTGAAAAAAAATCACGAGTTAGAAAGCCTTCTTCCGTCTTTATAGACCATACGTGTCCTTTATCACAGCCGAGCGCAGTCACGTTCGAGTCACGCAATTCTCCCGCCAACGCGATGCTAATTTATTTTAGACTCATGAGCTGTGATTGGCTAGATATCGCACACACCTCTTTCACGCCTTTCATTTCATTGTTACGTTGGCGTGTTCTTGCCTCAGACTACGAAGAATTTTACACAGGAGCACGTGTATCTGTTAAAAGAAGAGATTTATCAAACAAGAAGACGAAATGATAACTAGCATGTTTTCAAGGAATGTTAAACAAGTTGCTTGTCTTACGGGAAGCATAGTTTCAAAGCGCTCGGCTCACGGCAAGGCTTACCCTCGAGTTCTCATCACTGGTAAGCTGTGGCGACATTTTTAAAATCTCAATTTGCCTCGAATTAGAATTGTCATGAAGCTCTGTTTATTAAACAGAGTTTAGAGGCCTCAGTGGATTAAGTTATTCAATTATATATTCATTTTCAAAGAAAAAGTATAGCTCATTTACAACGCTAATCCTGTTATTTTGACATCGAAGAACATACCAACAATACCAGAGGAGTTCAATTCTGGCGTTTTTTTTAAAAAAAACATGATGTTCTTATATTACAGGAGGACTAGGACAGCTAGGACGAGGACTAGCAAGATCACTAAGGTATTAAAATAAGCGGAAAAAGAATTTTTATAATCATGTTTGTATGAACAGTTCATTCTCTGCAGGCATTCCTGAGTCAAAAGATGGTGCTCTCAGTAAAACACAATATATTATTGAATAAGTTTACAGATCTTGTCCAATTCATACAATTATATATACAATTATATGCTGCATTACAACCTGCTTTATTCGTATTACGATTTGAAGAGACTTAGTCGTTTTTCATTTACCCTCAAATATCAAAAGCTATGGCTGAATAAATAACTTATATTTGCCAATGGTTCAAATAGCTCGTATATTAAATATTCTATGATTCCATAATAATTTTCTTTGAACACTCAACAAAATAACGTATCTTATATCAATTAAGTATAGTATGATTTAAAATAAACTGCTACTAGTATTTGGTAAGCAATGCACGAAAGTGATTTTCATTTGAATGTGACCAGAATTAGTAGAGGTTCCCCTCTACTACACTTTGACGTGACTTTAGCGTGGAGTCTTTTTTCCTTGTACTATTTTGAAGACAAAATGATTACTTAAAGATAGCATAAGAATACTAAAATCAGAAGTATTGTTTGAAAATGCCGTTTTAAGGGGATTGTTTATAGTTGTCCTGCTGCTCTGACTGTTAGAAGCAGGTTTCACCTGTCGTTCTGTAAGCCTTTTCTAAAATTGCATCACACATTACATTCTTGTCTAGATTCAATATAAATATACAGCCAAATATGGTGTTGTTTGTACTAAAGCTAGACCATAATGCATTGTGATTTTATGTATCAGAAAATGTCTGTTTCACCCTGTTGTCTGGTTTTGTCTACAGGGATAATTATGGCAGCAGTAGTGTCATACTGTCAGACATAGCAAAGGCCCCACAAGAAGTGCTTGAGGATGGTGAGTATATATTTATATCCATATTGTGGAAAAAGAATGTTAAAATTACATGAAATGATAAAATTGTTGCCCCACAAWTTTTTTTTTCTAAACTAGTCTTATCTTCCTTTGAACCTGTCATTGTAATTTCSTCCTTTTTTCCTGTTGTCCAATTGCTTGTTTTTTCCCCATCTCAAAATAAGATATAATCTATTTTTGTCATCAGGTCCATATATTTATGCCGACATACTAGATTTCCAAAGTCTCCAGTCTATTGTTGTCAATCATGAAATAGACTGGGTTGTGCATTTCAGTGCAATACTCAGTGCTGTTGGGGAACAAAACGTATCTCAGGCACTGAAGGTCAACATTAATGGMTTCCACAATGTTATTGAAGTTTGTCGGAAATACAACCTCAGGCTGTTTTCTCCAAGCACTATTGGAGCATTTGGTCCTGAGACACCAAGAAATCCCACTCCTGACTTAACTATTCAAAGACCCAAGACTATYTATGGTGTGGCTAAAGTTCATATGGAACTCTTAGGAGAGGTAGAGTGTTTCTATGCATTTTAGTTTGCATAGTAAGATTGGTGTTATCATGTGAACAACATTTCCTTTGGCACTACTATTAACAAATTGCCTTTGAGGGATGTACAAAACCATCACTATAGACCCACTCATACACTTCCTTTAATGTAAAAAATAAATSCAGTTGTCATGCTGTTACTTGCGCTTTTTTCTTTTTTTGGTCGCCCTTCTGCTTGTATTTTTTGTTTAGCAGGTTATCTGCAGTGCTAATAAGATGATGATCAATAAATTTTGTCTGAGACTTTACTTAATTAAACTGATACACTTTTTCTTACAGTACTATAACCACAGATATGGACTTGATTATCGTTCAGCCAGGTTTCCTGGAGTCATCTCAGCTGATACCAARCCTGGTGGTGGTACAACTGATTATGCTGTCCACATTTTCCATGAAGCACTTAGAAATGGCAAGTACAAATGTTACCTGCGCAAGGACACTCGAATCCCAATGATYTACCTACCAGATTGTTTGAGGGCAACTGTAGAACTTCTTGAAGCCCCTCAAAAAGCGCTAAAGAGCAGGACATATAATCTAAGTGCTATAAGCTTTACACCAGAGGAAATAGCGGATGAATTAAAGAAACATGTTCCACATCTAGAAGTAGAGTATGAACCTGACGAAAGACAATTAATAGGTGAGCCACAATGAAACCACTTGCATCTTGAATGCCATTTTTTTAAATTTAGATTTTGTATTTAAATCTGGTCAAACTACAGTCTCAGCCATAGTCTCTCTGATATTTGTACTACTTGTCAAACAAATGCTTTCCTTCTCTTGAACAGCTGACAGTTGGCCTGAAGTGCTAGAYGATACTGATGCTCGCAAGGACTGGGGATGGAGACATGAGTATGATTTACCATCAATGGTTTCTGCCATGGTTCAGGCTCTTGCGCCCAAGTATGTTGAAAACAATCTTTCTGTAGCTCAATCTAATTAAAAACTCCAGAACTAATCAATACTCCTTGTTCAAACCTATATTCAACTGCACTTTTTTTATTATTCAAGCTTTTATTTATTAGCTAGCTAGCCTGCTTCATTGCCTGTTCTTTTGGACACAACAAGAACAGGTTATAAAGGAGACTATTTATTAAATATCTTTCTAGGTCTCAAGGATCTTTTGAGGTGGAGGTTTGAGGTGAATGCATTGGTTCATACATTGACCTATATTATCACGCTGAATCAAATAGTTTGAATTTAACACATGAATATCTGAGTCTTCAGCCTGGATGTATTTAATTAGTAAAGTTCGACAGTGGCTCAGCTATATTACACTATTCATGTATAAGATCACATTTTTATTTCATGCAATTGCAAGTTATTGGTTTATTGCGCTTTTGACTCTATTTGGATCAAWCTTATAAAATCAGCAAATGATCAACACAAATGGACTATTTGGTTCAGCCAACAATAGCTTGATGTATRAACTGGGTCTTGTCCAAAATGCCTCACAACTTGAACTCAAATCTACATAGAAAATGTCAAACATGCATATAATAATTGCTACTTTCAATTAATTGTAAATTTGCTCCAATTGTCTATGATAAATATTGTATTTGGCTTCTGTYGTTCAATTTGGCTACAAATGTTTGTTGTAAGATCACAAATGTTATATAATACATGCTGAGAAAATGGTGTAAGGAATAATTGAAGCAAGTGGCATTGAACATCACTTTCTTGTTTTCAAGAAATAGACAGATTCAGGCAATTTTTTAAATGAATGTATGACTTTGTGACCAATTAAGTTTAKGTATGTATGTATAACATATGGATCATGTCCATGCATTCTTGTAAACTTTATCTGAAGAAATTCTAGGAATGGTAATTAAATGATTAGAAAAATTAT